AAACTGAGAGCTAGCCTAGGATATGCGCTGAGTCGACTTTTAGGAAATAGATAAATGACCTCTGGGTTACGCATTATCCCTGCTATGTGAAACTGGCAACATCTAAGGGGACAGCACAGGGCTGCAGTAAACGCTACCTGGAGGTACCAAGAAGACAATAGATTAAGTACAAACACTAGTTTAACTGAGAAACTCTGTTAGTGGAGATTGTAAAGTAAGGCAATCTGTATCTGAGTTTTACCTCGAGATTGTAAAATCCTTTGTTCAGACCTAATGCTTGGTGCCCCTACTATAAAAGAGTGAGTGAGTTCAGAAACCGGCCTTCAACACGGCCTTACAAAACCCATCTCTGGCTGTGGTCTCAGCTAGCTGATAAGCTTTTTGTGCGCCATGGAGATTTTTTATTTTATTTTTATTCTTTTCCCCTGGATTCTGGTTTCTGGAATAAAGTTTGCTTCTGGTTTATTAGACTTTGGTGATCTGTCCCCATCTTTGCTCAACTCCCCTGGACCCAAAATACTAATCCTGAATTCTGCCACTTTAAGATAGAGAAAAGTTATGCAGCCTTGGCTGAGTGCTTCATACACCTTTGGTAGTGGCAAACAGCCCAGCCTGTTTTTCTAAGGCTACTTCTCTTGCAAGGAAGATCACGCGGAAGAAGTGGGACCTGTTGTGACTGGGCTGGATAACTTCATGTTCGTTAAATGGCTCGGTCTTTCCCTGTGTACTGGAAGGTGAATCTGTCTCCATTTTACCCACTCTGGCTGATGGTGTGGAAGTGCCTAGAGCATAGGGCTAAGTAGGAGTGTTGCTCACTTCCTGTTTACGGGCTTCGGTGGCTTCTCATTGCCTTAGAAACAAGCTCCCACTTCCTAAGCAGGTGCCAACAAAGACAAGACTCTAAGCTTTAATAACTTTGCCACTGGGGTAGTTTCTGAAATCGGTACACTCCTGTGTCCATGCCGGCACCTGGTTTTTCCTCTTGTCTTCCCCAACAAAAGCATGCCTGTTTGCTACTAGTCCTTTAAGAGCCACGTAAGCAAACTTATGTTAGTTTATGAGGCATTTCCTTGTAGGAATCCATATAAAGCAAGAACGTGGGCAAAGATATTTGTTCAAAATTGATCCTTTTGTACATTATGTGATTTATTATTTGATAGTATAATAATTATAAACAGTTTAAATGTTCAACTCTCACAATATGGGGGTATACTCGTACAGTATTATTTATTCAGATCAGTTTCTTTGTTTTTCCTTTTGGTATTGTCAGAAAAAAAAATGTCTTGACCAGACTGACATAACTGACGTGCCCTGCAGGACTGTTATGACTCCTCCAAGGGCACTGAAACCGACTGATATAGTTTCTTCAGCTATGGTTTATGTGTACTGGTCTCTGGAGAGACAGAATGTTAAGGTAAGCTGTACAGGCTTCTGCATGGTACACGGTATGACCTACCACACATAAAGAAACAGTCTAATTTCCAGGACCTATGAACACTTCATCCCACCAGTGCTGGACAGATTGGTCAATGACCTTGTGCTGCCCAAAGACTAGCACTCAAAAGAATGTCTCTCTATTCACTCAGGTTATGTTGTAGCAGCTAAACCCCAAGATTCTTAGGTCTTTCTTACCCACATAACTGACTTGGTGGTGGACTCCTGGTCAACAAGTAATTTTCTGCCATATCGTTATCTAAGGACCTAGGCTCTTCCCAACTGTGGCTCTTCTATCTCTAGAGCGTTGGAGTTCTAGCAGACATAAACAAAAACCACTGGGAAGTCACCTTCGCTGCCTGTCTAGAAGAGACGCCTATCACTTGCATTCTCATTTTATGGATGACGAGTCACATAGTCCCAGCTGGATCATCAGGTGCTAGAAACATAATCCCAGGCTAAGCAGCCACTTCCTAGAAACAGTTCTAGAAGAGAAGCAGATATTTCTAGTGACTAGCCCACACCTCTGTGATCCAGCCACAAATTAAAGTGACCGAGAGCCACCGGTGATGGGGTTTTACTGCTATGCCTCACGGGGAAGGAGGAAGGAGTTCTAGCATTGCCTTCCTGTTAGAGCGACTCTCCTGCTGCTAGCATTCTGCAACCTAGAAGGTACCACAAGCCTGCTGGGCAACTTGTAGCTCGTTTCCTCGCCATTCCAGGAACCACACCGTATCCAGCCCCCGGTTCTTCCAGGGCCGCTCAGTTTGCTGCTCTCTGCACATCTCCCGCTCATTGCTTGCTCCAGTTCCATCCTTTCCAAACAGCTCTGGATCGGGGAAATGGTCTCTGCTCTGAGGGAAGCAGGGCTGGCCTCCCTTGATCCATGCCGTTGACAAGGCATAACCATCTCCTGCAGAGATAACGTGGCTGGAATCACTTTTCCTGGAGAGGAGTGTTTTGGTTTTGGTTTGTATTTAGACCGCCTCACTGTGCAGCCCCGGCAGGCCTCAAATGCACAGTCTTCTTGCCTCCCAAGTGCTGGGATTGTCAACGTGCATCACCACACCCAGCTTCCTAAAGATTCACCAGCGCTGGAAGTGTCATGGACGTATCAGTACACAACACAGAGCTGCTGAGAAGCTCCTCGGGGAGCAGGGAGAACGCCCTCGCTATCGTCTTCATCCTGCTGGCTCTGCTCAGCACAGTGTTTCAAAAACTTCTACTTGGGACCCTTCCACACCAGGGTTTCGGAATCCCAGAATCCTCTAGGGAATATAAGAAAACAGGAACTGAATGAAAAAGGGGAGTGAGTGAGTGATTGTGATGCTCTTAATAGACAGTGACGCAGAAAAGTGAAAGTGGACCAGAGATGTAACTCAGCAGTAGGGGGCTTAGCATGTGGGAAGCCCTGGGTGAATTCCCAAAGCCTCCACAATAGAGAGGGAGCAGGGAGAGGAGGAATGTTGTGGAGCAAGAAGAGAACACTACTAATTTTTAAAATCAGTATATTCATAATTATATAAATATATGCATAAGACTAGAAAGAAGTACATGAAGATGTCTATTCTTTGGTTTGTGCATTTATAAACAAATTTACTTATTGTTTTAGTTGTTACATTTCCCAAGGCGTCCACGGAAGGAAGATGATGCTTAAGTCAGTACGGGGCTCAGAGAGTACAGATATTGTTGTGCAAGCCTGATGACCTGAGTTCAATCCCCGAATTCCACAGAACCAGGAAAGAAAGACTCCTAAAAACTGTCCTCTGAGAGCCACATAAGCGCTCGGCACATGTGCACCTGGGGGTGTGTGCACTTACACAGTCACATAATAACTTCAAAACACATTCATTCAGACACAATCAGAGCCCATACACGTTTTTTAAAGGTTGTAACATTTTTACAGATTGAAATCACTGGGAATTGAAAATTTTTTTGCAACCTGTAAGCCTCTCTGCTGACACAGCAGTCCAAATCAGGCCAAATCAAACAGAATTAGAAAAAGCCCAGGTTTAATGCCTAAAATGCTCCCGGATGACTTTCTAACCCCCAGAGATGAGACAGGAAAGAGAGACCAAAAATCCATGTGCCTATTTTTCTGGAGGGCAGTTTAAATACCCCGTGGGAAAAATCTTGAGCATCTCTGGGGGAGGGATGGTCATTTGGCAGGCTTTCTGAGATGAGGCAGTTTGGAGAGAGATAGGGGAGGGGCTTGGGTGTGAAACTCCCACTAGAACATTCCAGACTTTTTGAGTATATGGATGCCAGGGTTTGGGGTGAAACTTCCACTAGAACAGGAATTTTACTTACTACCTCCCCAGAAAGGTTAGGGTTCTTTAAGAGGAAAGACAATTCTTGCTTTTCTGAATCCCCAGGGCCTAGCACACATTAAACATCCTAAGGCTTGTGGCCCAGCTGAAGAAAGCCAGCAGTGGAAATATTCTAAATACAATTGCATCTTCCCTGGGACCAAAGGGAAGGGGCAGGATTTCCTCCCCTGGTGGAGGTGACCTGGGGCCTAGGAGGCCTGTAGGAAGATTTGGAAGAACCGCCCCCTTGAAGAGCAGAGCTGAGGTTTAGGAGACCCTGGAGAAAAGAGAGCTGAACCAAGTTGGGTTTTCCTGACTCCTGCCAAGACTGTCACGTGGTGGCGCTGGGAGGATTCCCTGATTCTGTTCATTCCTTTGGAATCTCTCATCCCTCCAGGACTTCCTCTGGAAATGGGGGAAACCCCGGTGCTAGGGACTGGCTGTGTGTCCAGTCAGCTGCTAGGAGTCTGCATCTAACCACAAGAAAAATAAGCACGGGGTGGAGGATGAAAGTCAGTTAGGAGACACTTCAGTCTTCTTTAAATATCGTCTAGAAATTTCTTCAAACAACTTTACAGGGTCAAGAAGAGTCGAAAAGGAGGGCCAGAAACTGCTTTTTAGCGACATGGGCAACAGCTCCACAAGCTGTATCAGGAAAGGTGAACCCTTTTCCAAGAGATCCGAGAGGCCCCTGAAGCTGACTGAGCGAACACCACCACCAAGGCTAGGCAGGAGCACAGGGGCCTAGCTTCTGCGCTTAACCTTGGAGACCCCAGGACCGACCGCCAGGATCAGATCCAAGAGCAAACTCGGTGGCCTATTTTGAGAGCCGCCCAGGTGTTCAGGACTCCACATAGTCTTCCTCGTCATCCACAAAATGATTCCTAAACCTGTAGGTTCCAGGAGAACCGCTTGGCTCTGGGTCTGGGCCAGTGTGCCCCGCCCGCAGGACGGCTGGATTCTTATTTCTACACTCACCCACTTTCTAAAACCAAACCCGAGAGGAAGGGCACGGCTCTGGGTGGGGATGCCCTGAAATATTCGAGACGAAGAGCATTCCTGCTTGCAGGGACGTTTACAATAGGACTGTCCCTGGGGACGGGCGAGGTTCGTCTGTCAAAAGTAGAGTGGGAAGGGTGTGTGATCGGCGTGTGTGTGTGTGTGTGTGTGTGTGTGTGTGTGTGTGTGTGTGTGTGTTGGGGCGGGGTGGGGTTGGGGGCAGGAAGGGAGGAGCCGGTGGGGAGCGCGGCTGCCTGCCCTCCAGGCTCCTCCCGCTCCGGGGCGCCTCCGCCCTTTGCACCCGCCCAGCGTACAAAGACTCCAGGCCGTCAGCGAGCTCCTCTCCGCTGTGTGTCCAGCTCTTCCAACGACTGCTGTGCCTCGGGCCCAGGTGAGTTTCTCACCCCTCACCTGCTCAGGGGGAACCCCTTACTTGGCTTGATCGGAACTCCAGCTCGGCTTTGGGAAGTGCTGTGCCCCGTGGGCCTGGGTGGGGCCATCCCACTTGCAGACACCCCCCAGACCCGCTGGGGCGGAGGCGACGCTTGTCTGCAGCTACCCCACCCTGGCGTTGGGGCCGTTGTTCCTTTGACCTCTTCTCTTTGGCGTACTATTCTTCACTCTCACCTTTCCTGCTTTGCAAAAGAGTTAATTAGAGTTAGCCAGACCTCAGTCCATTTGTTTCTAGCCTCTCCACAGCAGGGCTGCTTGAACCAATCTGGGCCAGGGAGGACTGGTGGCTTGGCAGCTGGAGGATTCCCTTCCTAAAGGGCCCTGCTCCGCTAGGTGATATGCCCCAGTGCAAGTTGCATGCTGGTGGGGAAGGATCTCAGGGCGAAGGCAAGGCCTCCTGTTTGTTGTCTTCATGAAGAAGTTCTGGGGTGAGAGGAAGTGAGGCGATTTTTCTCTAGCAAGTTTCTCTCTTGCTATTGAGTTAAAGAAAGGGACCCAGCAGGAGGTGGAGTGAGAGCAGGCTTGGTGAGCAATCTTCAGGCCCAAATTGATTTGATATGATGCTGCAGCTGAAGGTCAGGGCCTGAACTTGGCCACAGGATTGGCCTCTTTTCCAGACCTTCCTGGGAGGTCTCCTGAGAACTCTTGCGAGATAGACAAGGCAAACAGAAAAGTAACAGATCGACAAAGAGCCTAGGGCCAAATACTGAAATTCGCTAACCCACCTCCCTTCATCCTCCCACCCCCACCCCAGGGAAGCTAGATTCTGTTGGGTGGGGTTAGCACGAAGAGTTCCAGGATTCTCCTAGTGATGTGAGACCTGTGACTCAGCTGTGAGACCATGGGTGCGGCCTGGCTGGTCGATACTCTGTGGATGCTTGGACAGAACACTCCCTGAAGGAAAAGAGGAACTGTGCCATCTTCCCGGGCAGTTTCCAAGAGGAAGTGAGTCACACTCGAACTGGCCACCAACCTGAAGGAGGGATTTCTTGACTGAGCTGCCTGGGAGGGCAGTCGTTAGACTGGCAAGGCTGGGACAAGCCGGTTGATGGTTACCACCAGGTTGCTGTTCTATGGCGGCAGGCCTGTTTCACTGGGCTTTGCTTCTCCGCTTGAGAGGTTTGAGGTGGAAACAAACGCCCTCTCAGTCAGCTTGGCCTTCAGTGGGTTTCAGCAAACTGCAAACGATAGTGCCGGTTGTGCAGGGATGAGTTCGTGTGACTCCCTGAGATTTCATTACCCCCACAGTCTAGTCTTCCCCCGCAGAGTCCTAGCAATGTCTATTTAGCCTCCTTTCTACATGATTAAAGAGGATGCTCCTGGCAGCCAAAGAGGACTTGGAGCCTGCATGTCAGTTCACGGGAGGTTTTGGTCTGCTTGGCGTTATTTGGGTTCACTCAGATTTCTGTGTGATCTGTTTCCTGTCTTTCCCCGGACACAGCATGAGATGAGCCCTTGTCCTTCTATGCCTGGCCTCTGGCCAGCTTCTGAGCAGTCACCCCAGTGTGGTCAGGCGCTGAGCTGGGTGGTGCTGAGGCTGGATGCCTCCCTGATGTACACACACACACACACACACAGAGAGAGAGAGAGAGAGAGAGAGAGAGAGAGAGAGAGAGAGAGATTTTGAGCACTAAACTGTTATGCTATTATGCCCTTGGATACAGTCCATCCATTTAAACATAGCTAAGGGAAACAATGGGATTCTTTCAGAATTATAAAATAAAATATGTTCACAGTGCTGGGGAAAGCTGGACTAAAGTATGGGCTCTGTCTTAAGCTTCACATTTCCTCAGGCCTGGAAGCTTAGGAATCATCCATCGAAAGCAAAAGGGAGTAGCAGGCTTAGCATGTGTGAGGTGCTAGTTCTTCAGAGGGAGGGAGGGACTTGCTTTTAAAGACAGTGTTCAGGACTTTCTACCTCTCCAGTTAAATAATCCCTACTGTCCCCATGGTCGTCATTGGTTTTGGCTGAATCATGACAGCTCTTGGTGGAAAAGCGGGTGTTTTTGGTTGGGTTAAAGTAGGTTTCTTAGTTCTTTCTTCCTACTGAATTGCTTCTGGAACTTTCTTTTGCAGATCATGTCTGTAGTAAGCAAGTTTTGTTTGGTGAGAGAGCCTGAGCCAAAATTTTAAACTCACTCTTTCAAATATACTTTAAGGGTCAGATTCAAGAATGCTTTCTGGATTCAATTAAAAAAAAGAAAAGAAAAGAAAAGGTTCTTCAAACTCCCCTAAACAAGAGAACAGAAACTCTAAATGTTTTTAAACAATGAATGTTTATGTTCACTGACACCCTAATTAATTCTGGGTGGCTCCAAAAAAAAAAAGCAGCATGAGATGGACAAAATATAGATGAACAATGTAAATCAGGCCTCCAGCTTCTGAGATTTATAGCCTAGACCTGGGCATAGGTCCAGGACAGACATTTGGGATTGCTCAGAAAAAGGACTCCCTCCTGCCTTCTGGGCCTCCCAGAAAGACCAAGGGAGAGAATGAGAACATTGTTGGCTCCTAAGCTCGTAAGTGAGGTGTGCAAGGTAGGTGTTGGTGTAAGGGCTACAAAAAACAGTTGTTTTCTGCAGAGACAATTGAGACCTGTTGCGCAGGCTAACGTGTGAAGGACATAAGTAGACATCCGGACAAAATGGTTCAAGGGAAGGTGAGTGGGCCCTGAGGAAGGTGGGTCTATCCCGGGGAGCCAGTGAGTGGACCCTGTGAGTGGACCCGGAGGCAGGTGGGTCCATCCCGGGGAGCCAGTGAGTGGACCTAGTGAGTGGACCCGAAGGTAGACGGGTCCATCCCTGGAAGGCATGAGGCAGTGGAAGGCATGATGAATGAAAACAAGAGAAAGCACAGGCAGGAGTGAGAAGCCTGGCCATCCGACCAGACCTGCTTAGCAGGACAAGCATTCCTTGCGCCCCGCCCCCAGTCGTGTCTGGAATGTGCTCTGCACTCTGCCAGGCCGTTCATAGGTGAGCCCTGTTGAGGCCCCTTTCTCCGCCCTTCCCAGAACTCACCTGCTTTAGCTGCTGAACTCTGAGCTGCCAAACTGCCAGCTATCTATGGATAATCTCATCTGTATCGCAGCTACTTTGAGCCATCTGTTTTATAATGGTAATTAATCGTCTCTCAATTAAAACAGAGTAATATGTGGTTCTTGACCAAGGCAGCTGTAGGGCCAAGGCAGATTGGGTGGACGACAGCAGCAGATTGTTTATACCAGGTATGGGATTGGGTGTCAGGGACACGGAACAGATTCCCCTGCCTCTCAGACCGAGTCCCACGGCCCTCCTGACAAAGTATTACCCAACCAGAAGGGGGAGACGGGCCCTGTCCGGAGTGGAGTTTGTGGGGTGTTAGGTAGAGTGCCGGTGCCAGATTCGGGTTCCTGAAAAGCTTGCGCTCTAGTAGCTCACTACGGAGTTGGGGTGAGCCCGGTGGTTCCAACCCCACCCAGAAAAGGACAGTTCATAGTTCTTGGGACTGCCCCTGCCACACCTGGATCCTTGGCCTCCCTTCAAACTTTCTCCAGGCCAATTTCCTTGTGTGTGGCGCTGGTCAGGGCCCTCTGGGATCACGGGCATCTCCTGTGAATTTCAACTCAGTTTCACGTTGTGGCCATCCCCCATCCCTGTGTTCTTACTGCAGGATTCTCGAATAAGCAGGGAGTCAGTTGGCCGCTCTGTTCACCGGTGTGGGAAATAAAATAGCTAGGGGAAACCAGTGAGGGAGGGAGGACCAAAGGGCAGATATGAAGCTTCACGGAGGAACTTTGCCACCTCATAACCAGCTGGGTAAGGAAGGAGTGGACTGACCTCAGACCCCAGCACCCGCTCCTGGCTAAGGTACCCCTGACCTCACCCTCTCGAAGAGGACATTCAAGGGAGGTCAGGGCTTCCTTGGCTTACCACTTGCCTTTCTGGGGAGTACTAAGTTGACCTGCTTTTCTATTTGAGGAAACCCCTAGCCTGCCCATTGGTCTTTCTTCTCTAGGTCGGCAGTATACTTCCTGGTGTCTGGCTCCTTTCCTGGGTTGTTGAAGGGCTGAGGTGGCATCTCATGTCCTTTAGGTGACTTGCCCAGTCCAGTTCTCTTTGATTCCTGCACTTCCAAATCAATCCAGGCATGGCAGGCTCCCTGGGAGCCTTTTGCCACCACCAGAAACCCATATCCGGGAGTCGGGAGGTGGGGCACATCGGAGCAGCGTAGGAAGGGAGGAGAAAGGAGTGGCTCTTCCGGATTTCATGGCACCAGGCACCTTGGCGTGTCACCTTGTTGCTGTCCAAGTCATGCAGATGAACCATGCCGGGTCCTGACTGACACTGCTCTCAGAAGTGGCATTTTCTATAGCTGGCTCTTGTACTTTACTGGAGACAAAGAGGTGGAAATTATAATCCCTAAACCTAACTTTTCAATGCACTAGCTCAGCGCTACACCTTTGGTTTTGTGAAAGACAATACTCAGAGCCAGGCCTACTGCTACTCAGGAGGCAGAAGCAGGCAGGAGGATCTCAAGTTAAGGCCATCCTAGTCCACTTAGTGGGACCCTGTCGCAAAATAAAAAGTGGAAAGAGAGCTAGGTCAGTGATAAGGAGATGTGCAGAGCATGAGGGAGGTTCTAGGGTTCAGTGCTTGTGTGTGTGTTGGGGTGGCTTACAGAATTTGGGGGATCTGCACTGAACAGGCATCTGTCAGCAGCAGGAATCAGACCAAAGCACATCCCAAGTTCCTGTTGCTGCTCTTCAGTGGGGGAAGCGCCAACCTCTCCCTCCATCTGAACTCAAAACTATGTGTGGACACTGAGCTCCGTTAGGAACTGGGTCCTGGAGAAACCTTTGCCCCAGAACGCAGTGACCTAGTGCTTCCTTTCCTCTCTTTAAACTCTTCACGGGGAAAGGCCCTTGCGTTCACTGCACCCCAGCTTGTGAGGAAAACACTCTGCAGAGTCCTGCTGAAAATGGACTCGGCTCCCAAAGGAGCCTGCATCCACTCTTACCTATTCCTCCTCTGCTGAACTGGACAATGAACTTTACAAAGCTTGTCCTCAGGCAGGAAAGCTGCATCTCCTGCCAGAGAACAAGTCCAGAGTGCTAGGAGAGTATACATTCCAGCAGACACGTCCATCTGGAAGCACACTTCTAACCTCTGGAATCAGATTGGTCCAGGTTCCTACGTCATGCCTGGAGGGATGAAGTTTCTGTGTTAACCAGGTTGGACTTGTGGCTTGTTGGTGTTCAGGCATGTCTAAGAGTCATATTTTCAGCACCAAGGGAAATAAGGAAACATCTTTCATTTAGCGTTTTGCAGTAGAAAGGAAGATCTCTTGTCTTGATTTTTGAGAAAATTAAACTTTTGTATCTTGATTAAGAGCTCTGCAGAATAGCTGACAGCCAGGCAAATCCCACGTTCTGAGGTCCAATCCCTGAAGTATCTGTTGCCACCAGCAAAAGACCCCAAGATTGATTGAATTTTATTGGGAAAAGACCATCTATTTTATCATTTCCAATTGCCCCTGCAGACTTTCAGTCCGTGTGGTTTCAAAGTTAATGCAGACTGTCTCACTGTGCCCTTTGACAGGTTTCAACAGACTCCTCCAAGATGCCTTCTCAGATGGAGCATGCCATGGAAACCATGATGCTTACATTCCACAGATTTGCAGGGGACAAAGACTACTTGACAAAGGAGGACCTGAGAGTGCTCATGGAAAGGGAGTTCCCTGGGTTTTTGGAAGTAAGTGTTGAAAGTCTTGGAACCAGACCTAAAAGTCAAAGTGCCCTTTCCTTGTTCTCCCATCCCTCCCCTGTAGGGCCACTACTTGGAAATGTTTCATTTGTTTACTTAGTAGACAGTGTTAGGATAGCATAGGGGCAGCAACGTGGAAAAAGACTCCGCCCCTGCCCTCAGTCTGCGGGTGGAAATATCCGCACCCACTGGAACAACATGAGGAAAAAAGTCTTTCCACAGGCTGTAATGGGTCAAAGGATGCTGCTCCTCAGGGCTATTGCCCTCATGACAGACACTCCACATTCCCGTCACCTGCCGCTTGAAACCACTTGAATCTCCTCATGTGTGGGTGAGCTACAGGTTGACCCAGAGTCTCATCTCTACAAAGCCTGGGCTCTACTGGAGAACTCTGCTGTATTCAAATCCTCTTAAATCCACAGGGACGAAAAGAGCTTTCTTCTTTTTCCAGGACTAGCCCATAAAGGGATCATGTTAATTGTTGGCTGAATCAGAGCAAAATTTCCCTCTAGAAATACTGCTTTGTATTTGAAATGAAAATGTCAACTTAGGAGCCTAGAAGCACAGTCTAGGTTTGACCTCACTTCGGTCAGACTAAACAACCCCTGAAGACTAGGAAGCTTCAGATATGCCGCTCAAGACAATGAGTCCACTAGGCATAATGGTCCTTCGGTTTTGTAGGTCCTCAGGAGAAAGATGTTGGATTTAATGCTTACCTAAGACAAATCCCCTCTCTTCCTGAAAAGAAAGGATAGTTCTTACACTGCATGTTCAATAGTGCATTCATCTCTGAGGGTAAAGGAAATGATGGTAAAGGCTGGATCGGGTCTCTTGTCATTTGCCTGATAAACAGCACATTACCTAAGGACCTGACTCTTGCGCTAGTAAACACAGGGCTTTGCAGGAGACTGCTTTTACACATCATCAGTATCCGCTAAGTGACCCAGCCCCTCCCTCGGAACTGCAATCGCCCCAGCGCTATCTCAGTGAGCTGGAGTATTCAGTTCCTCTGTGGCGTAGGTACCATGCTGCAGTTCCGGACAAGGGCTCAGAATATCTAGCTGTGGGTTGCTTCCACTCTCTAGTCCTGGTTCCCTCCTCTCTGAAATGAGGGCGCTGAACATAATTATTTGCATACCCACTTTTAACTTGTTGAATCCTTCTAGACAAGCAGAAAATTCAGGAGCAAAATGTACTCATTGTAAGTCAGCCCATCACATCAGCAGAGGCATTCTCGATGCTAAAACATCCGTTAATCATGTGTGACATATGACACAGATCTTTTCATACTCAAGGCTTTGTGACATGAGAAACATAGAGTTTTAGATTGTTTGCAAAGGGGTGTGCTCCACACAGTGAAATAGTTTATTCCAGGTACAGACAGGGTCGTCATTCTAGACATATACTCACAGCCTTAACAGAGCATTTTGTTTCTAAAGTAGATGGCTTATGTCATCCAAATTTCACTCATTCTGACCACAGCCAGGAAGCAGGCGGTGAGGCCAGAATTAGCTACATAGAGAAGGGTTTCAGTTGATAGCTTACGGGAGGAGTTTGCAGCCCCCAGTAGACAATGTGACTCCTTTACCATAGGAGATCTCTAGTGCAGTTTATACGCATCCAGCACGCTTAAAATATTGCACGTCAGTTCCCTCACTAATTATGCAGTCATTGTAATTCATAAGCACTTTGTGCCTTTTAACAGCCTCTAATGCATTAGAGGTTATTTCCCTCTCTGAGATAGCATGGACTTATAGGAGTAACCACACTTGCACTTCTAACCAATGTGGCAGCAAAAGGGATAGCCGAACTAATGACCATTGAAACAATATGAAAGCCAATCATCTGCCTGTCTCTCCCTGTACCACACAGGGCATTAATGCTATGCACTGAGGAGTTTATGATTCTGCCATGCAAATTCATTTGTGTGTGTGTGTGTGTGTGTGTGTAAAGGTCAAAGTTTGACGTTAGGTATCTTTCCTCAGTATTCTCTGCCTTATTTATTTTTTACATTTGTTTGTTTATTTTGTATGCATCTCTGTCTGTACCATCGCATGCATGTGGAGGTCAGAGAAGAACTTGGGGAAGTAGGCTACAGGAGTCTAGCTAGATCATCAGCATAGCAGAAAGTCCCCTTACCCACTGAGTTATCTCACAGGCCTATCACATTTTTAGAAATAAGGTCTCTCACTGACCTGGGTCCTGGTCGATTTGGTTAGACTAGCTGGTCAGTAAGCTTCGTGAGTCTGTTTCTGCCTCCCCGCTGCTGAAATTTTGAGAGTGTGCTGCTGTGCACTGTTGTGCCAGCTTTTCATGGGGGCTACGATTCAAACTCAGGCTCTCGTGCTGGTGCCTAACAACCAGTCGCCCTCCCAGCCACACACACTTGCTTTGCAACTTGTCCAGTGTATGACATCATTGTTATACCAATGATGAGAATAAGATGGCATGGGTGTACCAACTCAAAGAATGGTAACAGGGCCAGGAGTAGCTCACCGGCGGGGCACGTAACTAGCATATGGAGGCCCTGGTTTCAGTCCGTGAAGACTGGGAGGCATCCTAGAGAGGGCACTCGCACCCAGACTCCTCTATTCGTAGTTGATATGTGAAGACACACTAAGTTGTGTGATAGACTCTGGCTACACAGCTAATAAGACAGACAGGACGGCTCCCTTGCTGGTCTCAGCCACATGAAGGGAAGAAGAGCTCGCTGCATCTGCTCTAAAGCTAAAACCCAGCATCCTCATCAGCACCTGCTTAGGACAGATACCACAGGGACCAGAAACTTACCCTCAAATGATCTGAGGTGGTTTCTGCATGAAGAGTTCCCCTTCTAAGGATCTGACCATGATATGATGGTGTCAGGAATGAAATTTTTTTTTTTTAAATCTAAGTGTGAAGTAGAAAACGGCAAGTGTGGTTCTTAGGCACAATCTAAATATGTCGTAACTAAAAGTGGATTCCCAAGACAAACAAAAACACGCTGATGAGTTACTTACAGAAGTCACTGAGGACTTAAGGAAAGAGCTTGAATACCCGAGAGGTTATGCTTACATACAGGTTGTCAGCTGTTTGGATCGGGTACGATGTAGTCATCTCATCATTAACTGATACCGTTTTCCTTTGTTCGTTCCTTATTTATTTATTTGTACTTATTTATTTATAGAATCAGAAGGACCCCCTGGCTGTGGACAAAATAATGAAGGACCTGGACCAGTGCCGAGACGGCAAAGTCGGCTTCCAGAGCTTTTTGTCACTAGTTGCAGGGCTCATCATTGCGTGCAACGACTATTTTGTTGTGCACATGAAGCAGAAGGGAAGGAAGTAGGCCCCGTGACGCTCCGGTACTCCCTCCTTGACGCGTTTCTCCCCGAGGAATCGGCCTCACTGCTTCTCGAGAGCCGATCAGGGCCCTTAGGAAATGTGCAGATAACATCCAACTCCAATTCGACAAGCAGAGAAAACAAAGGGAATTCAGCGACAGAGAAGCTTGTGATTTTTATATTGTTTTCACCCTTCTGCCCTCAATAAAGACAGTCCCTTTTTTTAGTTCTGAATTGGAGGTGGTTGTTTGTTGCGTCCTCTGAAATGCTTGCTCCCTGCCTCTTTGGCTCCTGAAGAGTCAGCATAGCCTCGGGCAGCCAGCACACAACAGGGCTTTCTTCACAGAACCAGCGAAATGAGAATACACTCCATTCAGGCTTGGAGCCTTGACTTTTTTATTTGCTCTTGAAGCTATGTCTATGTGAATGAAGGATCAAAGTTCAAACTGTTACAAGAGGGCTCTTCAAGAACATAGTCTACTTCTATAATTCCTTAGCAAAGTCTTCCCCAGTTACATGAGTGCTTTTATAGCCAGCACTTTGGATGCCTGAGATATCTGAACCCATTTTCTCACTGAAAAACTGCAGCAAAATCTAGGGCCAAAATAAGCCCATCAAAAAAATGAGCCAAAGTAGGAAGGGATACAATATGACACTTTAGTGATAAAATCCCAACAGCAGTGTTCTAGTTAATTCCCAGATGTCAAGAAATATGCTAGACATGACACAGATACATTGCATGGATTTTGGATGAAACTCAAGTAACACAAATAACACAGTGTTTCCGCCAGCCTTTTGTATGCCTATTAGGAACTCCAGTACATGTATATTACACATACAACAAGCACACATATATACTTGTTGGTGGAGAGACAATATATGAATTCCATGAATTGACACATTGAACTGTTTAGTTAATTAGGTCAACAACAATGAAGACACAACACTTTTTTCGAAACAGCTCACACATTTCCAGACTGGCCTCAAATGTGTTATTTGAAGGGTTAAGTAGCTGAGAGTGACCTTGAACTCCTGATCCTCCTGCCTCTCTCTCTCTCTCTCTCTCTCTCTCTCTCTCTCTCTCTCTCTCTC